GCTGGGCTGGTTCAAGAAGGAAAATTTTACTTTGATTTAATGAAGAAGCACGGAGTTGAGCCACGAGATCAACATTATGCTTCCCTTGTGGACTGCCTTGGACGAGCTGGAAAATTGCAAGAGGCCGTTCAAGTTGTTGAGGAGATGCCGATGCAACCAACAGAGTCTGTTTGGGGAGCTCTATTGACTGGCTGTAGAATCCACAAAAACACGGAATTGGCAGCTTATGTGGCCGACAGTGTCTTTGAGTTAGGTCCTGTTAGCTCAGGCGTACATGTGCTACTGTCCAATGCATATGCTGCTGCTGGTAGATATCAAGAGGCCGCCAAAGCAAGGAAAATGCTTAGAGACAGAGGTGTGAAAAAGGAAACTGGTTTGAGTTGGGTGGAGGAGGGAAATAAAGTCCACACATTTGCTGCTGGCGATAGATCTCATTCGAAGTCTAAGGAGATATATAAGAAGTTGGATGAATTAGGTGATTACATAGAGCAAGCTGGGTATGTTGCAGACACAAACTATGTATTGCAACAGGTAGCTGGCCAGGAAAAGAGTGAAACTATCAGGTATCACAGCGAAAGATTAGCCATTGCTTTTGCACTTATCACCTTTCCACCTGAAAGGCCTATTAGAGTTATGAAAAACTTGCGTGTATGTGGAGATTGTCACAATGCAATAAAGTTTATTTCTAAGTGCACCAGAAGAGTAATTATAGTGAGGGATAACAATCGATTTCATCGCTTTGAGGATGGGAAATGCTCATGTGGTGACTATTGGTGACAAATGTAAGTACTGTTACCTTCTGCTACTTTGTTTTTGATAAGTCATGTGGAGATATTGATGCATATCAGAAGTTACATCTAAAAAGAGACAAGTTTAAAGAGAGTGTAAAGAGCTAAGGAAATCTACCATGGCAACAGGCTATAAAACATTTGCTGTGGCCAAGTCTAAGCAAAAATATACCGATGAAATAAAAGTTAAGCAAAAAAAATAATAATTTTGTGTTTGAGATAGCAATATTGTCCCTCCTGTATTTGAAGAATCTTGCATTTCTTTCCATCCAAATGATCCACCAAATATCTTTGGAAATAGTGTTCCAATACTGTTACCTTCTGCTACTTCTACTTAAAACACTAGAATGATTCTCTGTTATATTAAGACTTTGAGGAATTTGGTGTAATCCATTGTGTAGCATTCAAGATAAATCTTTTAACGAACTATGGGAAACCTGAACTTCAAAGAGATTAGAAACTTCGTCTTCTAGTCCCTTTTTTTTTTTCCTCTATCCATGTATTGGAATGACCTTTCTGGTCTCTTGCACATTTTTGGAAATAGTTTCTACAGGTTAGGCTCCTCGTGACCAATTGACAAGATATTACTCAGTTTAGAACTGCAAAAAATGCGACCATAATATCAATAATCCTCTCTTTGGGAATCTCCCAATCTGCTCTTGATTGCTTGTATGCTTCCTACATTACTTGATTATTGCGTTCCAGTGGAAAAGTGAAACTATGTGATTTGTGCATTGTTTTCTCCTCTCTGCACTTTTGACTCGGTGAATTGAATATGATGATTGATTGGGAGGTCTGTAAAGTAATTAGAGAAAGAGAGGATATTAAGAGGAGAATAACCTTTTTTTTTTTTTTTTGAGATGGTAACAATTTTTATATTCAGAAGCACAAAGGCTGTGCTGGCCATAATTACAGAGAAATGGACCAAAATATACAACAAAAATTCCTATCTTCTTACAGAGTCCCTAGAACATCTATTAAAGCTTCTGTGTCCACTGTGTATTCTTGTTTACACCAAAAATGGAATAATAGTAGGCAATTCATTTTTATCTTATGAGTTGAGCTGGCATTGCCTTCAAAACATCTTGAATTTCTCTCTTTCCAGATAGTCACCCATATGCAGGCAGGAATCGGATCCCAACTATTCTTCTCACTTGCACTTCTTCTCACCTTATTCCAGCATGACAGCAGGTCCTTGGTGCTATTTGGTATGACCCAATGTATCCCTGTTAGAGCTAGGAATATGTTCCAAATTTGAGCAGTCACTATGCAGTGTAAGAACAGGTGACTATTAGTTTCTGCTTTTCTTCCACATAGATGACATCTTGAGCACAATTGCACACCTCTTTTCTTCAAATTGTCCTGTGTTAAACATGCCTGTTTAACTACCAACCAAACAAAACATGCCACTTTGTAAGGGATTTTGACTTTCCATATGTGTTTCCATGGCCAAAGATCAGTCATTATGTTTGTTTGATTAAGCACTTGATAAGAAGATTTAACAGAGAACCTTCCTGAACTGTGCCCCAGCCACCATGCCTTATCAACATTCAAATTCACCCCCATAAACTGATTGAGTGTGTTGTTGAAGTCTGTGATTATAGTGATCTCCCAATCATTTAAAAATCTTCTATAAGTGAGATTCCATCCTTGAGCTGACCAAACATCGTAGATAGTAGCCTTTTGGTGCTGATTTATGGAAAAAATATCAGGATACATTGTCTTCAAAGGCTCATGCCCCAACCACTTGTCTTCCCAAAAAGAGGTGTTCTGTCCATTCCCTACTCTAAAGCTGATTTTGTTGCTGAAAATTTGCCAAAGAGAAACAACCAGTTGTCTTCCCAAAAAGAGCTCTAATTGCCTTCCAAACACTTACCCCATATGGAGAGGTTACTTTCTTTGTTTTCCAAGGCCCCTCTTCCCCATATTTATCTTTAATTACCATCCTCCATAGTGAATGTTCTTCATTAGTATATCTCCACAGCCATTTGATAAGAAGGCTTTGGTTATGTTTCCTCAAGTTTTTGATTCCCAAGCCTCCATGTTTCTTGCCGAGAGTAACAGCCTTCCATTTAACTAAATGGTACCCTCTTTTTTCTTTGTTGCCTTGCCATAGAAAGTTCCTCCTTAAAACATCCACTCTCCTCTCTATCTTTGGTGGGATAGGGAATAAGGACATCAGATATGTAGGAAGAGCATCAAGTACACTGTTGATGAGGACTAACCTGCTTCCTTGCGTGAGGTATTGACTTTTCCACCTTGCTAGTTTCTTTTCCCATTTCTCCAGGACCCCATTCCATATATCAATGGATCTGCATTTGGCCCCCAAAGGCATTCCAAGGTATATTGTTGGAAAAGCACCAATTTCACCACCAAGGATCCCAGCAAGTTGCTGGATTTGTTGAGATTCATTAACCAGATAAATTAGGCTTTTTCTCCAATTAATGTGAAGCCCAGATATCCCTTCAAAAATTGTTAAGATAACTCTTAACATCCTCATTTGATCTACCTCTGCATCACATAGGATGATAGCATCATCTGCATAAAGGAGATAAGTGATCTCCATGCTGCCTCCTTGTCTGTTGTTAACCTTGAATCCTCTAATCCAATTATTTTGTTGGGCTGTATGGAGCATGTTGTTCAATCCCTCCATGGCTATAATGAAGAGGAAAGGGGATAAAGGATCTCCCTGCCTCAATCCCCTTTGAGCAGGAAAGAAACCTTCAGGTGACCCGTTGATCAACACTGAGAATCTAGTTGTACTGATACACAATCTAATCCAGTTATTCCATTTTGTGCCAAAACCCATTTGCTTCAGCATATTTATCAGGAAATCCCAATTCACATGGTCAAAAGCTTTTTCTATGTCTAATTTGCACAATATTCCTGGCTTTTTCCCCTTTAATCTAGAATCCACACATTCATTAGCAATAAGAGCAGCATCCATTATTTGTCTTCCTTTGATGAAAGCCATTTGATGTTTGCCAATCAGTTTAGAGATCACTGATTTTAATCTTTCCGCCAGAAGTTTGGAGATGATCTTATACACCATGCCGATTAAACTTATAGGTCTATAATCTTTTAACTCCTTTGTCCCATTTCTCTTTGGTATCAAGGCTATGTAGCTTGCATTTAGACTCTTTTCAAAGTACTCATGACTGAAAATTTTGGATAGCTTGCATTATGTCACCCTTGATGATGTCCCAACATTGAGAATAGAAACCCATGCTAAAGCCATCGAGCCCTGGGCTTTTATCAATAGCACAAAATTTAATGCATTCATGCACCTCCTGTTCTCCAAAAGGTCTTTGGAGCCAATCTTGCTCTTGATCAGTGATTTGTGGACCATCTATCATGTCGAAAGTTGGTCTCCAATGCTCAGACTCAGTAAAAAGTTGCTGATAAAACCTCACTACCTCCTCTTTAATTGCTAGTGGATCTTCCAATGTTACACCATTTGCCCCTAGCTGATCTATATTGTTGTATCTCTTATGTGCATTTGCAGTCCTTTGAAAGAATTTAGTATTTTTGTCACCCTCTTTCAACCACAAGGCTCTGGACCTTTGTCTCCAAGCTATCTCCTCATTTTTTGCAACCTCTTCAAATGCCATGAATAGGTTTGCTTTCAGTAAAACTTCCTCTTCATTCAAATTTCTCTGCTCCTGAATTATGTCCAACTCTGAGATCTGGTTAAGAATATTGGACTTGGTGGCCTCCAGATTCCCATGCTTAGTTAGATTCCATTCCTTTAATTTTCGTTTCAGAGCTTTCAATTTGCTTGCCAAGATGTAATCTAGTCTACCTACAATTACAAAAGAATCCCACCATGTCTTCACCTGATCATTAAAACCCTCTACACCTATCCGCCAGTTTTCAAACTTGAAATACGATTTGTTGTATTCCCATTCACCACATTGCAAGGAGAGAGGAAATGATCTGAATCTACCCTCTGTTGGATAGACTGCTTAATACTCCTGAATTCATCATTCCAGCTTGTGGAGATGAGGAATCTATCAATCCTGGAAGAAGAATCTTGAGGCCCCCCCTCCCCCCCCAGTTCCTTGTGTACATGCCTCCAATTAAAGGAAGGTCTACCAATTCCATGTCATCAATGAAATTTGAGAAATCAATTATATCTCTAGTTAGGGTGGTACAATCCTTCTTTTCTGAAATATACCTAGGGGTGTTAAAATCTCCACATACTACCCAGAGATCTCCACATAACCCTCTAGCTGCCCCAATTTCTTCCCACATCCCTTGCCTTTCCTTCCTGCTGTTTGGACCATACACCCCTGTTAGATGCCAAGAAAAATCATGAGTCATAGCCATGAAGTTACATGTCAAGGAATGTAATCCTGTACATGTAACTTCCCCCTTCCAAACTCTACTATCCCACATCATTAAAATTCCCCCTCTAGTATCACTAGCATGTAAACATTCATATTTTACCCATCTATTTGCCCATAACTGCTTCACAAACTCCTCTATATCCCCTTCTACCTTGGTTTCTTGCAGACAATAGATATCTGCTTTCCACATGTGTATTAGACTCTTCAAAGTGCTCCTTTCCCCTTAGTGTTTATCCCCCTAACGTTCCATGAGATTATGTTTATCTTCATGGAGCACCAATTGATTGTAACTTCCCTATATTTCTCTCCCAATTGCTTTTGAATTTGACATCAAAATTAACTAAACCTTTGAGTTCCTTGTACCTTATACCTTTTTTTTTTTTTTTTTTTTGGATG